CATGTCATAATCATTGAGTATTTTTTTGATGAACGAAGTAAAAATAAAATTAAACATTAAACATTAATATCTTTTTAAATATTTGATTTACAATTAATCCTATATAAATAAGGACGATAGCTCAATTTATAGATATTTATTTAAAATCTTCTTAATTAATTAATTACGCGTGCATTATATAAATATAACTTTCTGAATTCATTCAAAAACCTTTTAAAAAAATAACATTTATTTTTAGGGTAACCTATATCATTGACCGGAATTGCCCGTCCACCTCAGTTGGTAGAGCGCAAGGCTCTTAACCTTGTGGTTGTGGGATCGAGTCCCATGGTGGGGTACAACCAGGGTTTTTAAACCCTATCTCCAGCTCGGGTAAAAGACCGTTTCGACAATGGTCATTTGACAAGAAAGATATTTTCCCCCTTGATAAGAATGAATCACGTGGGGGGAGAGAGTTATTTGGAAACTCTCTTATTCTTACTTTCTTCTTCCCCCGTGTGCTCAAGCTCAAGCCAAGCAAAGGTGAGTTGTTTGATTATTTGTTGATTTAAAGTTTGAGTTTTGATCATTAGATGATAACTAAGCTTAGAGAAAGCTTAAGTTATCTTAAAATCAAAAGATAAAGGAGTTAGGGAAGATTAAAGATTTAGAGTTCTTGAGTGAAATCTTGAAATAGAGTTTATAATAAGAATTGCAAATTATATTTGACTTGTCATCAACCTAATTAAGGAATATGGAGTATTAGAATTGGATTTAAAACATGTTAAAAATTGGGTATGATTCTTGAAGTTCATAAAGAGGAGAGGATATTAAGGTTAAAGATGAGACAAATGGATATAAATGAGTTTAAGCATGTATATGTAAGTTAAGAACATGAAAGAGGAGGAAACGTGAAGTGTTGAAGCTAAAAAGAGTGAATTTTCGTGCTTAAAATGTGATTACTGGGCAAAGAGTATTGATACCCATTCAATAGGTACCAATACCCTCTTGAACGAAAATCACAGAATGCAATAAGGGTACCGATACCTTAAGGAGTGTATTGATACCCCCTAAAGGAAAAATTGAATATTGATCTATTAAATTTGTTAAAGTTAATAGTATCAAAGTATAAGGTTTAGGCTTCTGATAATTGTCTTGAAAATTATATTTATGTAGATACAGATCCTAAACGAGTTCCGGAGCAATTGACAAGTAGGATTGATTGAGGGAAAGACAAGGAGATATAGGTTAGTTCAATTTAATTTGTACTTATGTTATTGAATAAACATTGGGTTGCGATGAGCCAATGACGAAGTTACTATAGTAAGAAGTGACTCCTAAAATGTTATTTGATTTATAATGCATACATAATGTTATACATGAATGTTTGATACACCATTGGGTATGATTTATGATAAGTCTATTTCCTATGTTTGAATGCATGAGTACATGAAAATGAGTATATGGATATTGAATTATATGAAAATATGATATCAGCTATGTGATATGTCTGACATGTTATATGATATGAGATAGATGGTTACACATATGTGTGGTATGTGACAAAAGAGAATAAATATGTGATCATAAGAGCAATGATATTAATCATAATGATAGTGCCCATGTTATGTGATATGAGAGCTAGGGTATAGTTGGCATGCCAATAGTCGAGGGTTTACCTATGTTCTTCAGGACATATGGAATGTTTACCTATGTTCTTCGGAACATATGGACTGGTTCTTCAAGACATTTATACGAGCTGTGGTGACAGCATATGTGTGCACAACCTCAATGTACTCACATACCTTAAGTTCTCAATAATGTACATGGACAATCCAAAGATATTCATATACCTTAAGTGAATCTGGCATGAGAAAATAACCTCAATGTGTGCACAACCTCAATGTATTCACATACCTTAAGTGAATCTGGCATGAGAAGATAAGTTTTATATGTGCATTACATGATCATATATAATATAGTGTAATAGATATATGCAAGTTGAACTGTCATGATCAAATGGTAAGAGTGCATGTTTCATGAATTCATTATTATTATATTTTATGCCTCACTAAGTCTATGACTTAGCGTGCAAGTGATTTACACGTAGGTACTGAGAAGCAGGAAGATCAAAAATAAATTCAAAGGAACAACATATCTCCGCCCAAAGATCAGATCAGAAGTAAATTACACAGTATGTATTGCTATGTGATAAATATGTTGGCATGTAAACAAAGTCGTTAAATTAAGTATGTATGCTCTGATCGAGTTTTGTAATGTTTTAAACGTATTTATGTAAATGATAGCTTTATATTGATGAAAGTTTAAGTTTTTATGAGTTTTATAGATGTTTGGACGAAATTACTATAGCAGGGTATCGGTACACTGTAGTAGGGTATCGGTACACTGTAGCAGGGTATCGATACCCTTGTAGCATTCTGGAATTTTAGCATCGATACTATTCACGGTACTGTTCAATGTGACATCTCAGACTCGTATCTGGGTCGGATGCGGGTTGGAGGTGTTACATTTGGTCCTAATTGTTTACATATCTTGACACATGGCACAATTCTTGGTTCAAACTAGACAAAACTTTTTTTTTATATATTTTATAATTTAGTGTATAAATATTTAACTTAAAGTAATAATATTTTAAATATCTATAAAAATATTTTATTTTTAACTTAATTTAAAAGTATTTTATTATTATTTTAATTTAAAAACATATATCTTATACTTATTTTAACTTAAAATATATTTTATTCTTATTTTAAATTTTAAAAATATATTTTATTATTATCTTAATTTAAAAATATATTTTAAATTTTACAATAAGAATAAAATATATTTTTAAGTTAACATCAAAATAAATTATATATTTTAAAATTAAAATATTAATTAAGTTAATAGTAAAAATATATTTAATAAGTTAAAATAAAAATAAAATATATTTTTAAAGGTATATAAAATATTATTAATTTAAGTTAAATACACTAAGATACAAAATATATACATTGTCTAATTTAAACCAAGATTTGTATTTTGGCTCAGTGGTTGAGTTTGTGCTTGGTTTTGCTCTCACCCCTGAGTCGAATCCCATTGTCCCATGTTTGCTTTATTTGTTTTCTTTCTATTAAAATAAGTATATCAAATTAAAATAAACTTAATCAGCCAATAAAACGGTATTATATAACACCATTTGATTGGATGATTTAATTTATTTTAAATAAGACTAAATTGAAAGGATATATAAATAATAATGACTATATATGTGATTATATTAAAATAGTTAATTGCCACACCAGCATTACTCTCGATTGTTAACGGTTAATGACTTAATTAATTATAATTAAATAATTAAATGATTTAATTGACAAAATTAAAGTATCAATTGTAAACCGTTATTTTTAACTGATTATTTTTTTTATATTCAGCAAATATATGAAAATGGCATCAACTGCATATTCAATTCTGTCTACAGTTTATCACAAATCCCCATCACGCTTTCTACGCGAGAATTGACCGACACACGGATTGGCTCCCAAACACTTTTAATACATTAAGGGTGCGTTTGGTTCACGGAATATAAGATTACCAGTGGGAATGTAAGATTACCAAGGAATAGCATTACTGGGAATGTTGTATTTTGTGTTTGGTTGGCTTAGCAGGAATGTAAGATTACCGTGTTTGGTTAAAGGAATAAAAGATTATTGGAATGTATATTTGACCAAATTATCCTAATTATATATTTGTGTAATATTACAAGTTGGAAAATTTTATATTTTCTTTAAAAAATTAAATTCATAATATTTATATATTTTTTACAAAATTAAAAATAAAAAAAAGTTTAATGAAAGGGTAAAATTTTATTTAAACCCTTGAACTTTATATAAAATTTTAATTATAGATTTTTTTTTTGTAAATCTAAAATAATTTAAGGATAAATTTGTAATTTAACATTCGTAAAATTTTTATTATTCGATGACAGAATAAATATATTTTTGAAAAAAAATAAAAATTTAAGGGCATTTTAGTCCAAAACGCCGGTAATCCAACAATACCTAAGGAAAGGGAGGTAATAACATTCCCGGTAATATACCCCAAAAAATCCACTATTGGTAATCTTACATTACCGGGAATAGGATTCCCGGGCTAACCAAACGGGGGAATGTGGATTCCATTCCCATGGGAATCCCACATTCCCCAATCCAAACACCCCCTAATTGGATAGTGATTGCACGCACTTAACATCGAGACTCGGCTTGTCTTTTTCACAGAAATCTTTTTAAATGGAAACAATATTTAAAAATAACCCCCTTTGAAAAATCAAACGTAATCGTATTCGTTTAACCAGTTAAGGGTTCACGTGTGTATACATATAAGTACCGTACATACTATTTTGTAAAATATAATTCAATTATATTTAAAATATTTAATTCAAAAAAACTTTGGGCTATTGTAATAGATTAAATTTGAATATGTAATTTATATTCGTAAGTATTTTTTTACGAGGTTTGATTTTGATTTATAATTATCAGTGATCTTTTAGTAGTTTGATAATTTATTGTGATTTATTAACTGATGTAGTTAGATCTGTTTGTATCTTCTACTTAAGTTTTTATATAAATTTTGACATTTTTCTTATATGATCATCTTTTAAGATCTGAAATAGTTAATATTTTGTCTTAATGATTATAAAAAATATTTTAATTATATGTTTAATTTATAATTATGATTGTTAATTTTTATTATAATTTTAAATATTTTTATGTTTAATAAAATTATATGTTACTATTTACATAATGAAATAAATAAATTTCGGGCTAAATTTATCCCGCCACTGATTTTCAGTGTTAATTTATTTTTTGACAAAATTTTCCAGTGTTAATCAAATTAAAATTAAACATATGATTTAATAATTTCGTCTGGTAGGCCCGTGCCAGTGCTACGTACGCACTGACATTGAAAATGGCGTGATGCTTAGTTTGGTGGCAGCATGATTTTCCTCACTTATGTAGAAAAGCACGTTATTTTTGTAAGGATTCAGTTATTGACTATCAACACAAGAACATGCTAGCTCTTAAGCCAACACCTTCGATCAGGTCAACTTTCTCCGGCACCGCCCTCCGCCGTAGTCCACTGCTCAATGGTATTCTGGCGGCGGTCTCGTTTCCCCGGACTACTAGGTCATGGCCCCTGGTTCGTGCCGTCATCAGCGATGACAAGACAGTGGAGTCACCGAAAACGTCATCACTCGAGCAGAAGGACAGTGACGGCTCGGTGTTTTCCGGTTCTTCGGTTAAGGAAGTCAGGGCCGTTGTTACTATAAGGAAGAAGATGAAGGAAAATGTCACGGAGAAGCTTGAGAATCAATGGGAAATGTTGATGAATGGGATCGGTCGGGGGATCTTGATTCAGCTCATCAGTGAAGAGATTGATCCTGGTTGGTTTTTTTTTCATTAATTTCTTCAATTGGAAATAGATATGTAGAGTTGTTAGTGATTGAACTGAAGTTCTTAAGTACTGTTTTCCTTGAGATTCCCCCTTTTTTTGCTAGGAATTTATGCTTTGAATCTCAATTTTTTTCCTCTTATTGACTGAAATTGAAATGATCTGTTTCTACAGTTACGAATTCGGGGAAGAGTGTCGAGACTTTTGTAAGGGGCTGGTTGCCTAAGCCTTTAGAACATGTCCACATACTCGAATACATAGCCGATTTTACGGTCTCGTCCGACTTCGGTAAACCCGGCGCCGTCCTGATCACCAACCTCCATGCCAAGGAATTTCACTTGTTGGAGATTGTGATTCATGGTTTTGATGATGGCCCTATTTTCTTCCCTGCAAATACTTGGATTCATTCTCGGAACTATAATCCGGAGAGTCGAATTATATTCCGAAATCAAGTAAGAACTTCGTGCTCGGTCGCGATGACGTTTTTAGAGTAGGGATTGTTTGTATTCAGTTCTGTATTTGTCATGAAACAGGCATTCTTACCATCACAAACACCATCTGGCCTTAAAGATCAACGAAGGGAAGATTTGCTTAGTATTCGCGGTAATGGGAAAGGCGAGAGAAAGCCTCACGAAAGAATTTACGATTATGATGTCTATAATGATTTAGGTAAACCAGACAAGGATCAAGATCTTGCTAGGCCGGTTTTGGGCGGCGAGGAAAGGCCTTATCCGAGGCGGTGTAGAACCGGCCGGCCGCCTTCGAAGACAGGTATTATACTTGATGTAATCACATGTCACTTTAAGGTTTGAAAATACTTATTTTTCAGTAGTTACATGGAATTTCATGTGCGTTTGATTTGATGATCCATTTAGATCCACTTTGCGAGAGTAGAATCGAAAAGCCCCATCCTGTTTACGTACCTCGGGACGAGGCCTTCGAGGAGATCAAGCAGGACACTTTCTCTGCTGGGAGGTTGAAAGCACTTCTTCACAACCTTGTACCATCGATCGCCGCTACTTTGTCGAGTTCCGATATCCCGTTCACATGCTTTTCGGACATCGATAAGCTGTACATTGACGGGTTCGTCTTGAAAGACGATGAGCGAAGAGAATTAGGCGACAATCTATTCATTGGCAATACGATCAAACGGGTTGTAAGCGTTGGCCAAAAGTTGCTGAAATATGAAATCCCAGCAATTATAAGAAGTATGCTTCATTCATCCCGCATTTAGTTTTTTTGCTCTAAAATAAGATCAAAATGTGGTTAATATCTTAAACTTGCGTTAATGGAGCATTATTTTTGTATCCAGGTGATAGATTTTCATGGTTGCGAGACAATGAATTCGCACGCCAAGCTTTAGCTGGAGTCAATCCAGTGAACATCGAGATTGTGAAGGTTATTTACAAATTTCTTTTCTGTTTTAGGTTAGGATTTAGGTCTGCTGTGTCTTCTTCTTGGAAACCTTTAAAGTTGGTTTAACTTTGCAGGAATTTCCGATTCTTAGCAAGCTAGATCCTGCTATTTATGGCCCTCCAGAATCAGCAATCACAAAGGAATTGATCGAGCAAGAACTTCATGGAATGAGTGTAGATAAGGTATTGTCAATTTATATGCATCACCTTCCTTCTTCCTCCCTATAGAAAACTTGATTCGATTTGAAGAAATTATTTTTTAAAATTTTGAACTATTCGAGTTAACTCGAGTTTTGAGTCAATCTTGAATTTGAAAAGTTCTAATCAACCAAAAAATTAAAAATTTAACCAAGTAATTTGATAGTTTTATAACTTGGTACTAGTTTTCTTATATCTTCAATCTCTCGTTCATTTTAAGTCAATGTTTTTACTAAATTTGAATCACGTACCCCTAAACCATTATAAAATAATATGCATCTTCAATTCCTCTTTTTGACAATAATTTTTTATTTGTTCGATTTAGTGTTTAACTTTACACAATTTTCTCATTTCTTTAATTCCTCTTTAATTTTAAGTCCATTTTTTATCAAATTTGAACCACGTGCTCCTCTACCACTATAGAATACCTATGAAACTTCAATTCATATTTTTAACAATAAATTTACTCATTTTAAAATTTAATCTCTTAACTTTATATTTTATTCAATTTGATCTTTTAACTGCAATGTTTTGTAAATTTTTTCTTTCCAATCATTCATTGACTCCTTTATTCTCCTATAAATATTTATCCTCAAAATACCTTCTTTGAAAATAATATTATAAACGTATTTTATAATTTTAGATTGTATATGATATGTAAAGAATATAAGGAACCAATTCTTATGGATAGATGTTGTTGATAAATTAGAACCAATTCGTATCATAATATTATAAATAATTATAATTAAATTTTGAACAGAAACTCGAATAGCTCGACTATACATGAAAAACATTCAAATACAATTGGAATGATAAATAAGACTCACCAACATTCAAATACAATTGGAATGATAAAATAAGACTCGCCAACTCAATTAACGCAATTTTTTTACTTAATTTGACTCGATCGAATACTCATCCTTATTCATATGTTCACGTACTCGTTTTATGGACATTTTTCTGATGACATTCCCATTAAGTCCCATGTTGCATCGGGCATCTGATAGTTTCTGTATGTTTTGGCTTTGTTTGTCCAACAACAGGTGTACATAGTGAAAATTTTGGGGTGGATGATTAATTCTAACGGAAAACATTAGTCTTTCTTTAATGTATTGATGATTTTCAAAAAGAATTTCAGATTCTCTAAGACTGCTCTCTTCCTATCCGATCTTACAGGCTATCGAGGAAAAAAGATTGTTCATACTTGATTTCCATGACATGCTTTTGCCTTTTATCAAGAGATGAACAACTTACCCGGGAGGAAATCCTATGCCTCCAGGACGGTGTTCTTCTACAGCAAGACCGGTATGCTAACACCGATCGCAATCGAGCTTTCACTTCCTCCCACGGCTTCGTCGTCTCGGAATAAATATGTTTATACTCACGGGCACGATGCTACAAAGCACTGGCTCTGGAAACTGGCAAAAGCTCATGTTTGCGCAAATGATGCCGGCGTCCATCAGCTTGTAAATCACTGGTAAAACGTTAACAGTTTCGAACCTATGTCTAACTCGGGTCATATTAGATTAATGCATAATTTTGTTGCATTCTCCTCGAATACAATGTTATGATGATATGTTCTTTATGATGTGGTGGTGATTCGGATTTCGGGCATTTTAGGTTGCGGACTCATGCTTGCATGGAGCCATACATAATCGCAACTCACCGGCAGCTTAGCTCGATGCACCCTATTTACAAGCTACTTCACCCTCATATGCGTTACACGCTAGAAATTAATGCACTCGCACGACAAAGTTTAATTAACGGAGGTGGGATAATTGAGGCTTCTTTCAGCCCCGGAAAGTATGCCATGGAACTGAGCTCTGCTGCTTATGAGAGTTGGCGGTTCGACAGGGAAGCATTGCCTGCGGATCTCATTCAGAGGTATAGTTCGGTGGTTATGTGTTAAACATTCACCCTTTATTTGAATTTAAGTAGTTGTGGAAAAATTTTCAGGGGGATGGCAGTGGAGGATCCTTCAGCTCCTGGTGGGCTGAAACTCGTGATCGAGGACTACCCTTATGCGGCTGATGGACTGCTGATTTGGTCTGCAATCAAAGAATGGGTACAATCCTATGTGCAACACTTCTATACCGAACCCGATTCGGTCACATCCGATGTTGAACTACAAGCCTGGTGGAGTGAGATCAAGAACAGAGGTCACCATGACAAAAGGAATGAACCCTGGTGGCCTAAACTCACCACCAAAGAAGACTTATCCGGCATACTTACAACAATGATCTGGACTGCGTCAGGCCAGCATGCAGCTATAAACTTCGGACAGTACCCGTTCGGAGGATACATGCCGAACCGTCCCACTCTCATGCGGAAACTTATCCCACAAGAAACCGATCCTGAATTCGAGAAATTCATTCAGAATCCTCAGCGCGTATTTCTATCCTCATTGCCAACACAACTTCAAGCAACCAAAATCATGGCTGTTCAAGACACCTTATCAACTCATTCACCGGATGAAGAATACTTGGGCCAAATGAACCATCTTCATAGGAGCTGGATCAATGATCACAAAGTGTTGGAAATGTTCGACAAATTCGCCGATAAACTCAGGGAAATCGAGGAAACGATAAACAAAAGAAACAAGGATACCCGACTTAAAAACCGAACGGGTGCAGGCGTTCCTCCATACGAACTACTGCTTCCTTCATCAGGCCCTGGCGTAACTGGTCGTGGAATACCCAACAGCATTTCAATCTGATGAATTTTGTTGTTGTAATAATACTAGGTTTCTTCAATTTTATGTTATTATTACTATTACAGTTGATGCACCATTTTCGCTTTGTGTAGAGATCTGAGACATATACTTGTAAATTTGCAATCATAACAACAAAAAACATTTTGGAAGCAAATTCTGATCTGTGCTTATCTCCGTTGTTGTAATTAGTATCTTTGATTTGTATGTTATTGTTTTTTGAATTAATCCCAATTATGCTTATTTTTATTTTTTTTTCATAAGTATTTGTTTTTGTATTTTAATTTAGTTAAATATTTATTAAATAATTTTGTTGAGATTTATACAAATATAATTAATGTATTTTAATTTATAAATATCTCATATTCACATTATATATTAAATCTTCATCTTATTATTTTTGTCTATTCTCATTGTGGTATCAGAGTTTTATAAACTCATTTTACTAGTGTTACGAAAAAAGTCAACGATCCCTTGAATAATAAATAGACAATCTTACAGAGTTATTTTATGTTGAAATTATCCTTAAGTTTGACGATTTTCATTTTTAAAAAATATAAATAAATATTTAATTTTATTTTGAAAAATCGATTATTTAAAATTAGGTATGACGAATCTTTTAAAAAAATAGTTCTTGAGAAATTTTTAAAAGAAAATTCTACCAAATCCAATTTTTCCTAAAAAAAACAACAACAAAAAGATAACAAGAGTAAATTACATATGAAAAGGATTAATATCCTACAACATCCAGAATTAATATCTAAGAATTGAAATTTATTAGTTCGAAGTTAGAATTTAAAATATAATCCTTATACACGAACATTTATTTGAAAAGTGAATCTTGTAATAAAATCTTGATCGACTCGTTTTAAAATGATTTTGTTCACCCGATCCTTTTATATTTAAAATATAATCCTTATACACAAACATTTATTTGAAAATTGAATCTAGTAATAAAATTTTGATCGACTCGTTTTAAAATGATTTTGTTCACCCGATCTTTTTATTTTAAGATGATGTCTTTATTTTTTAAAATAAAAAAAATAACTATAACTATTTGATTAATTGATTAAATTGTTCATCTTTATTCCTCATATTCTCATAATCGTGAGTTCTATATTTATTAAGAACATTTCTATTTCTTTTTCTAAAATTCTCTTCCCTCCCCTCAAAATAAGATTAAGATTAAATTTAAAAATTGTTAAAAAGATCATCTCATATAAGACCCCTATTAAAAGTATATTGTAAATTTCATCCATATTTGTCATTATCAAAAGAATCTCACATTGTATATCATATTTAAAAATTCAATTATTATAATTTATAATCTTTTATAAACAGGGGAGAGTGAATTTCGTGTGTCTTTAAGAGAATGGTGAAATCTCGAAATCTATGAAGGAACACCAAAAGCAAAGACAATTCTCTGGGTCCCTACCGACGCTAGGGTGCAAAGCATGGGGAGCGAACATGATTAGATACCAAGGTAGTCCATGTCGTAAACGATGAGTGTTCAACCTTGGTCAACGCGGATCAGGGCCCAGCTAACACGTGAAACACTCGCCTGGGGAGTACGGTCACAAGATCGAAACTCAAAGGAATTGGGGGGTTTGCACAAGCGATAGAGCATGTGGTTTAATTCGATACAACGCGCAAAACCTTATTGGTCCTTAACATATGAACAACAAAACCTTTCCTTAACGGGATAGTAATGACTTTCATACAGGTGCTGCATGGCTGACGTCAGCTCGTGTCATGAGATGTTTAGTCAAGTTCTAGTGCATTTTCCCCTGGAATATTATTGTTTGGGTACGACCGGACAACTACCGATATCTATTAATATATATTTTTTTATAATGTTGTTTTATTAAATATCTATCTATCTATATATAAACGGATCGGATATTACTTAGATGTGAAACTTTCAGACCACATTAGTTGCGATATTGATCTTACCGGAGGGAACGAAATCTAAGAATATATAGACTTGTAGATACCCTCTATGTAGTCTATCTAGGGTCGGATCCTGCGCCACGTGGTCCTCACTTCAGGTCCCACATTTCTCTTCCTTTGTTTGATTTCCCTCAAATCTCTTGCCCCTTTTGGGTCAGGATCGTATTCAAATAAAAAAAAATTGATCAAACAAAAAATGGATCAAGCCAGGATCTTTGCAGACCTTGGAGTGTACTACCAGGTGTTGATTTCTCTTTTCAAATCAAGGTCTTCTCGAAAGAACCAGAGTTAGCCGAGTAGCTCCAGCAGGGGTTTATTAAAAGCTGAAAAACAGAAGACTACCCCTTTACAAAAAGTCCAGGAAACCAGAAACAGAATACCTAGGTCGCAAGGCAAGGAAGACGCACTTCCACTCACCAACGGGAAGGTAAGTACTTTTATATCGTTTCTTCTGATATCAACAGGGGGGGGGGGTTTATAAATGCACCCGAATGTTCCCCTCACCTCATAAGACTCTTTCTCTTTCCTCCTTGACAATTTTTTATTACTCAAATCCAAAAAATAAATTATGTTACGTCATTAGTCATGTTAGTAACCCAATTCGACACTTCTAAAGCTATCAATCTAGATTATATTTAAAAAAATTAGAAAAGATTTAAGAAAGCTTAAAGAGTTTGCACATCATTATTATTGGGTTTAAATTTGGATATTTTATAATCTTAATGATGTAATATATTTTATGAAACACGCTTTTTGCATGATGCATTTTCAGGCAGCCGAATCCTGGTGGCACCAGTGTATTTGAGTCAATGTTGACCCAAGTGTGCTTTAGCCATACGATCATCTTCCAGTTCAACTTTAATAGGTCTCAACTGTATTTTCGAGTTGAGACCAAGTTCAATTACCGATTCGGAGGAATTATCGTTTCTTATTTTCGGTTTTCGACCTTTTTTCCCTGACATTCTATCAATGTTCAACAATTGATCCTAGTCAAGGGTGTAGACCCTTTAGTCTCCGACATGGGAGCTTTTGACAAATTTTACAGTAATCGTTCCTCTCCCCCCCTACTTTTATAGAGCTTCTTCGCTTCTCTACCAAGTATTTCTGCTTGTTTGGCTAAAACAATAATCGATGTGCACTCTGCAATATCTAAATAGAACAGTAGACAAAAATGCAACTGAGAGAACCCAAGTAAACATTCAATTACACAGAAAACAAGATAGAACTAGAACATTCCACAGCATCATAGTCTTAAAGAGTACCGACCTGCTTCTCAAACATGTATTCATGCAATAACTAGGAAAGCCAATTACATGAGAAAGGATTTCAATAGCATGAAACAATCGAGCCTAAAAATAATTATCCAATTGCGATAATGTCCTGCTAACGTTCGCAACTTATACCAAGGTTGAAGTGAAAATGTAGTGAACCGTACCTGAAAATACACTATAATTTTGCTAGCAATTGACTGTATTAAATTACTAAAACACAAGCATTTATAGCAGTATACAGTCTCAAAAATATGGGAATACTATCAATGCTCCAAACTACGTTATTTGAACTTGGGTGCAAAAGTAAAGATAGGAATGTCAAACATAGGTGTATTCAATTTTCTTTCTTTTTTAAATCCATGTATTTGGAGGGCTTAAGAGATCATACACCGAGGTTATCTAATTGTTATTGGACATGAATACTAAAGGGGAATGAAAAAACAAAGGCCAGAACAAACATAATTTTGGAAGAATTAGATAACCCAAAACCAACCTACAATTATAATATCAGAACCACCGTGATACAATTTGCTCCATAAGTTCTCCTCAATCACCCAGCACTAACCACTGTTGCTCGTTCATAAATCAAAACATGATATTTTCGGCGGGAAGTTTTAGATAGTATGTCGTATATGTCTGGGTGTGAACACACAAAAAATCTCTTTTTTATGCACTAATTTTCCATTCAAATTCCATACTAGAAGCTATCACATAAATCATTCACGCATTGAAAAGAAAACATTGTTTCTACAGCCAAGGTACCATATCAGATTATGCCATTGAACAAAAATATATCAGATTGAATCCAACTATATGAATATGACATACAGAGTAGGAGGTGAGTTAACGTAAGTCAGACATAACTTTATCCCTACATTTCCATAAGTTAATGTGTTGGGAGAAAACACAGCTTTATTTCTTGGTTCATTGATATTAGTGTACTTCATGATAATTTCATATAAAATCAATGCATCTTAAAATGAAAATTACAGGATTCCTTCTCGATTCACTTGCTGAATGCATTTCGTTACGATTACATAGGATGGAATGCATTTACTGATATCATAAAACAATGAAAACTCCTAGTATACGAGAAAAGATAGAAATATAAATGTGAACAAGTTGATAGAAGATATAAATATTATTAAAGTGAAAAAGCTAATCTATGATACGGTAACAGTCCAAAGTTTGTATGGTACCTCTACTGTGCCTGAAGAAACAACTGGAACTTACATAAAATCCACAATATGAAGGTAATCTCCTCAACCTGCCAGCATTGAGACTGCAGGGACATTCACAGACATGTCATAAAATATTCTAGGGCTAATTACAACTTAGAATCTCTCAGACCATAATTGAAACACGTTAAAATTGAAATAGCAAATTAAACATCAAATTCAACATTTTTAGGAGATTTGTCAATTGCTGAATAACTTACATTCAACAGGTACACTTAACAAATGAAGTAAAAAACAGAGTTGATAGCAAGTACAAGATAAATCAACTAATGTTAAAAATTAGCAACAGTGATTGAAATTAACCAATCTCTTTAATACATGGACCTAGCGTTACTGCTTAAACTTACAGCTCCAAGTACTTACAAATGCCCAACTTAAGCATTAAAACAGATCAAATTGTTCATTCATGAAAAAGTATAAGCTTCACAGAGAAACAATGAATACAAAAACTTATGAAAGATAGTTCAGAAGTCCATTCCTTTATCTGGCAACAATAAACAGAGTTGTATACCCTTTCTCCAAATGAATGCAAACACAGGCACAAAACAAAAAATCTTGAACAAATCCATACGGAAGAGAGGAAACATTTGCAACATCTCAACTACAAAATTCTCTTTTCAACTCATGAACATACTGTCCAACAAAAATGTTGTACTGGCAGGCAATTTTGGATTTTGGTAACTCTCCACTGCATCCCCAAATAAAGTTACAAATAATCACCCCATATGAAAATAAGAAAAATTAAAATATGGTTAAGTTGACACCACTATTTTTCATATTGCAGAGGAAACTCCTCACGCATGGACAAATATACCTAACCCCGTAAAGCCATTCCAGAGATACTGGATTAATAAATTACCTTTTGTGTACAATGGTTACTACCGATTTCTTTGTCAATGAAAAGCGAAGAATGTCCCCTCCACACCAACCACCTCTTGCAAACACAATGTCAATATTAAAACATTGGACTGAGATGGAAGAAATCCATATTATTTTAATATTGAAAACTAGCTATAACGAGAGTTTACATCACTGTTCCAATTAAATATATGTTACACAAGTTTCAGCTGAAATTGATTTATAAAAAAGAGATGCTGATATGCCACACCTTGCGATACCAACCGTGTAGATGTAGTTCTATATGAAGATTAAAGCTGGAAAACTAATTGCAAACATCTGGTTCACATGAAGAGGAAAACACTTCTCTCCAGCCAGATCATGACAGTCCCTGCTAAGAAACAGCAAGAATGATGATCTGACAAGCAAAGTTTGCAAATGCATGTCTCTCACCTCAATCGTGGACATCTAACAATAACGAGAAAAACTAACACATGAAAGTGACATGGCACAGGTGGATGAACTATCTCTCAGCCAAACACACCACCAGTCCCCAATTCCCCTTGCTGCAACTCCTTTCTACGTTGCTCTTCCAAAGGATCTGGACTCTTCAGCATTCTTCTCATGCGCCTAAGCATGATAATAAAGCCCTTAATTAAAACTTCAATAATAACTGAAACAAATTTACTAAAATTTAATAGCACTTGGGATGTTTTCTTGTTTATGTTGCTCAATACCTGTCACCAGCATGTTGAGCCGGGAAAGTGGGCATGAAAGCTTTCGTCTTCGGAAGAGGAACTTCAAAAAACCATTCATGGTTAAGAGCAGCTTCAGCTGTAATCCGCTGAAAGGGATACCAGAGGCACAATAAACCATCCACGTGAACAATGATATAGTAACCAAATTGTTGGTCAAGCTCGAGCCAAAATATTTACCTTCTCAGGATCATAAGTAAGAAGTTTATTCAACAAGTCAAATCCTGCATCAGAGAGTACAGGCGTTCCAGTGAACGATGTTGGTGGAAATTTCTTGCGCAATAGGTTATACCTGAAACGAAAATATCAGTAATTAATACAAACGAACATAAGGCAGTGTTACTGAACTGTCACCAACTGAGGCCAGAAAGCCAGTGCAGAATCACCCAAAGCTGGAAGCCTGGGAAAACAGTAGGAAAAATAAGAAGACCTGAATATTACACTCAACTGCATCTAGAATCAAATTTCAAAAGATCTAGTACTTACTGATGGTTGACAAAATTGACCTTGACTCCAGGTAACTTGGAAAAACCAGGCCATATTGTCTCATTTGGTGTGCCAAGGGTTCTGAAAATCTGCAATCAGTAAAACGGGCACAACAAATCCAAGAGCATCAACATTGGAAGTTTGAAGTTTAAACCATTCCAGCAAGAATAGGGTTTGATGGTAATGATAATGAAATGAGGCCAGCTAATTCAATTTACCTTGTAAAGTTGATCAAATTCAGTTTTCCCATTGAAAAGAGGTTCTTTTGATAGTAGTTCAGCCATAATACAACCCAAAGACCACATGTCAATCGCAGTGAAATATTGTCTTGCTCCCAAAAGAAGTTCAGGTGCCCTGCAAAACCAACATGGAAACTCCCCAACTAATTGAATCACAAAAATTCTAGAGGCTTAGATAATAAATGGCAGCACAAGAGTAAAGGCTTAAACTTTAAAAGTTCATAAATATTCAATTCATGTTAGCAACCAATAGCAAATACAGCTCCTTCTTTTAATAAAAAAAAAAGAGAAGCTGACATTACAATGAATCAAAGTCAAGAGCATACTTTATCAAAGGCTTCTCTGCAGAACTGTTAATGTTCCTGAATTATTTGTACTCAACTTTGAATCAGATAAAAATAACAAAACTTCAGGGAAGTTTTTACCAATAATACAAAGTTGCCAACCCAAATGCACAATTCAGAATTATTTTCCCAACACCAAACATAAACAGAAAATAAAAATAAAAAAACAGAAGAAAGATCTCAGATATACTGTTTTATTGGAAATATGAGGATTTAATTGTTGACATTCAGAAAGCAATCAATGGAATGCTTAACTCACCTGTACCAAAGTGTAACAACCAAATGAGTATATGGTTTTAATGGGCTTCCATATTGACGAGCCAATCCAAAATCACAAATCTTCAAATCACCTTGGTTATTTAAAAGCAGATTTGATGTCTTCAAATCACGATGAAGAACCCAGTTATCATGAAGATACTTGACACCCTCCAGCAGCTGAAGCATCAGGCATTTAACCTCACTTTGGCTGAACGGTTGTTTCATTGTCTCCATCAGCGCTTTGAGATCATGTTCCATGTATTCCATCACCATAAAAATACTATCAAGGCTACTCCCTACAACTACTTCTTTAACATCTACAATTGATGGGTGATGAGATGAAAGAAGAATATTTATTTCCCTCAGGGAGGTCAAAGGAAAACCTTCTCTTTCTTTCTCCATCTTTACCTTCTTCAACGCCACAATTTCCCCAGTTTTCTTGTCCTTAGCTCTAAATACAACACCATAAGTACCTTCATCTATCTTGTTTAGCCTCTCGAACTCATCAACACATCTACATCCCTGAAGCATGTTTACACTTCTTAAAGGAAGTGTTGGATGTTCTGGTGGTGTCCCATGTGAATTATTCTCATTCTCTGAATCTGCATCAGACTGGCTAAGACTGCTGTCATTTCTATCACGTTTAATGTCAACTTCCATGAAGTCATCCTTCTCTGAATCATTCCCAGGGTAATCATCCCCAATTCCTGGCTTGTAATGCCGTTCATCAGATTCAGATGATCTGGCTCTAATTCCCTCAGACCCCTCCATCTTCAGTTCTGCAAGCTCTGGAGTGGCTGACCTATTCCGTAATCTGTTATGAGATAATTCTAAAAGAGGCAATTTCTTTCTCTTCTTAGGCATTTCCTCATCTTCTAAAATTTCTCCCTCATCACCTGGAGAGCTACCACCTGCTGCCCATCTTGAGGAAGATAGATGTCGAGCAGGTACGTAATCTTCATCTTCTAGATGCCAAGCATCCTGATAATTAACATGCTCTTTTGGTGGTGAAAATTCCAAATGCTCAGGAGACAGCAGTGCAGAGTATCCAACAGCTTCATCAGCTGCAACTGGTGAAGGAGAATGTGATTTCTCGCTTTTACTTTCTATAACACCAGATAAATGTACAGTCCCACCAGAGATGTCATTAGGTGACCTGGGGTAAGCTTTTGGGTGCGGTGGCGGATGACGAACAACTGTAACTGCAGGGGAATTCCCACTTTTGGACATACTTAAATCCTTATCACTTCTATCCCACACTATAGGAGAAAACTTCCTCTTTCTTCCCACATGAGACGGAGCCCCATTCCCCATTACCTTCGCAACCTCACTATCTTTAACTACTGAATCAGACTCAATGGCATCCTCTGATCCACTGTCACTGGACAACTCACCAGGCTCCTTATCTACCACCCTATGAGATAACTTCTGTTGCCTGAGGCCATGAATACCGCCGTCGCTACTACCACCAGAATCACTACTACTCGAAGAGGAACGATACCCACCTTTTACCACTTCTCTCTCCTTAATATCCTTTAGTCTAACCTTAGCTCTATCTCTACCTCTTGCAATTTCACGGCCGCCTTCGCTAGATAACTCGTAGTCTTCATAATTAGCAAATTCCTGCCTCGTCGCCTCAAAATCAGAGTCTCTGTCTCTAAACTCATAATCAGTACAACCCCCATGTCTCCCAGCATCCATGTATAATTTTCTAAAACCCGAAAGCCTCCCAATTCAAGAAATTCCAGCTAATTTGTTCACATATAAACCCTAAACCCTTGAGAAACCACGTTCGGGCCCAAATTTAAAAGGGGCGAGAAAATTTCAAACCCCAGATTCTGGGGAAATAATCAGAACGAAATTAAGCTTAAAACAAAAGCAGTAAACAAACTCAAAAAGAACCGAACCAAAAGCTATAATATCCCCGACTTCCCCTATGTAGCTCGAAAGTTTTCGGCAATAATTGTGGAAATTAAAGCAAAAGATGAAGAGGGAAAACCCTATAAATATTAGTGAAAAATTAAGCGATACATGGATTTTCTCGAACGGGAAAATTAAGAGAATTGAGAGTTGGTAGGGCTTACCAATTGAGAGGTTAAAAAATAAAACGAGGTATTGAGAGATAAAGTCGGTGATCGCTGGTTCGGGAATCGAAAAGGACAGATAAAAATAGAGACTTACAAACCGCGAGATAGCGAGAACAGAAAGCCAATTCCCGCAAGCTTTGTGAGACCTAAACGCTGTGTTATTCTTTGCAACGGAATCGCGATTGGCGAATAAACATAATGGTAAATTTCTAATAATTAGTTATATATTAAGATGAGGCTTTACCTCTCTTAAAAAAAAAGAAAAAGTTAGATGTTTAAATTTTGTGAATAGAATAAATTAGATTAGGAGGATCAGATTTATATTTTGTGATATTTAATTTAAATTAATTGATCAATAAATTAGATATCGGTGATTATATCAAAAAGTAAAGGTAAATTATTCAAACATGTTGTATTTTAGCTTTAGTATTATTTATACTATTAAATTTTATATTATTTTAATTTTAATCATAAATTTTAGTTTTAATTTTAATTAAAATATTAAATTGTTAAAAATCAAATTATGAGATGAAATAGACTAAACTTTCAAAAGGGCCATTTTTATTTATTTTATAATCATCTTTAAAAATGATTTTTTTCAATAAAATAAAATCTTAAATTATTATATCTATGTTATTATCATTGTTTCTTTGATAATTATCCTAAATATGTCGTTTTTATATTATAATAAAATTAACTATTAATAAATTATTATATTAAATATTTTTTATGTTTATTCTTCATTATCGACAAAAGTATTTGATTATATCTTTTAGTATTATGAAACAAATTCTGCAATGTGATTTTTATCAGGCATAAATACAGCATTGCCCCCATAAATTATATATTTTGCACCGAGTTATCTTCTAAAGTGTTTTTCAAACATTTTATCGCATAAAGTTTCAATTATTACTTCATTTGACCCTAAAATCAATGAAGTTTCTTCAATGTGTCGCCTATATCACCCGAACATCCTTAAAATCCATGAAGATAAAAGATTTATTTCGTCATGGAATTCGTTTCTAGTGGTGAATTTTTCGCTAAAGTTCTACGTCCGTAGTCAATTGACTGAAACGATTGCTCGTGGCTACTTTACCCAACTCGTCAACACCACCATGGAACCGATGATCAGTAGTAAAGTTTTCATCATGCGTCGCATGCAACATCACCCGATATCCTTAAAATTCACGAAGTGAAAGATCTATCTCATCATGAAATTCACCTCCGATGGTGAAATTTTTACCAAAGTTCTATGTCGTGGCTGATTGATTAAAAAGACCGCTCATTGGTACTTTACCAAACCCGTCTTTGCCCTTAATTTTGTCATTAAATCAACATCACCCACCGTAATGTAAAGCCACAAAACCTCTTGTTAGACCAAAATGAAAACCTTAAAATTTCAGATTTCGAACTCTCGACTCTTTCCGAATAGCTAAACAACGAGTTTTTACATATAATTTATACGAGTTTTACATTTAATTTGTCACACCCCAATATGAGGTTAGATTTCTTTAATATGGGTTAGATTTCTTTTAATTTAAAATATATGAAATGATATGATGTTTGGTTGGCTAATAATTATTTTATTAGACCATTAAGCTATTAAACAAATTGAAGATAATGAGTTACGCAGAATGTGGACAAATTATTGGATGAGTGATTGATTGAATACATGGATTGATTTGTTATATATATATATATATATTTAAAGATAATGGATGGGTGATAGATTGAATACAGGGTTGATTTGTTTTTATATATTTCATGATAATGGGGTAATGGATGATTGAATACGGGAGATAGAAAATAAAAGATTTTTCTATTAATAATTCTATTCAAAATATTTGAAACCACAACTTGAGGAGATGTTTTTTTTATAATATTCAATTTTAAATCAGGGAATCGGGGAAAACAATTTGGTTATCCTATGCAGTCAAAAATGACCATTTTCAAGCCGTTATATGACTAAAAAATTCAAATCCTTGGTTTATTGGAATAGTGCACCAGAGAAGAAGAACCATGAAATGGACAGCAACAAGGAGCAAAACAAAACCAGAACCTGTACGAGCATCAGAACAAACACTTCCAACGACTATCAAGGCGGGTCGAGCCATCAACGATCCTTCAACGCTTGATCTTCCACTCTTGGAGGAGCCCGAATTCGCAAATTAGCAGTAGCAAAATCACAACATTAAGTTTGGATTAAGTTCCAAAGGGCAGCACCATCCAACGATGAAGGCAAAGATCGAAGAGGTTAAAAGCTCATGGCATTCGATATTTTTCTTGTAGATCTACAATTGTCCATCGCAAGTCTCGGTCAAGAGAGGCAAGATCTATGACGAGGAGGGTGAAGAGAGTCTGATGGTGTACTTTGAGTCACGAATAGCGATCGACGGCGTTAAGCGGCTTGGTGGTCATCGGTATGTTGTTTTTCGATCGACCATTTTCGTTCCATTTTCTGAGCACTGGACGAATAGTGCTTAAGAAAAAAAATGCTACTTGCAATATTATAAGGGTAAGGATCACGTGGGTAATGATTAAGATGAAAAATGAATGAAGGTTAAATTGTAGCTTCAGTCATCCATTTTGGTATGGTTTCAACTTTGTCCTCTAGTTTTAATAAAATTTCACCCAAGCCATGTTAGTTTAAATCAAATCGATTTAGTCATTGATTTTAGTAATTAAAAATTTTATCGACTCCTAAAGTTTTTAGTTTTAACAATTGGGTCCCCAAATTATTAATTAGATTATAATAAGTTATTTTTATGGCAAGGAAAATTTTTTGAAGTTGTATTTGTACGGTGGATGATCCGTGTTCGTGAGAAAAAGATTGGAAGCTGGAAATCAAGTTGGTGAGGTGGAATTTAAGACTAATATTTTGGGTTTTGTTGATGTTCCGATTTTGGGGTCCGTTTCTCCAAACTCGAACCCAGTAAGTTATTTTTGACTGATTTATTACCTGATTCGATCCGTTTTTCGGAATTAAGCTCCGTTTTTTATTAATTCATGTTGATATGCATCTGAGGAATTATTGGAAGATGATTTCAAGATTGAGGGCGTTCAAATGGAATTTAAATGGTCGATCAGTACGACACAAAAATCGAGATAATACTTTACTACCTCTTTATGCTTTATGGAACATGTTGATATTGGTAAATGCATGGATAAGATAATGTTGGTCACTTTTGTAGAGTTGAATAATTTATACACTCGATATGAATGTGGTACAAATTTTGTAACTGAATACGGATCGAATGACTAATATAAGAGATTGAGGAATTGTTAGAATTAAATTACAAGTTTGTGATTAGTGATAAAGAAATCAGCTATGGATTTGTAACTTATATTTTATATCATCAAAGGTTAAATGTTAAAGGTACTTGGATTGGAAATTTTGAGAATACTCCGGTAGGATAAAATTACGAAAATACCCTTATGTTGTAGGATGACAAGAATTATCCCTGGAAGCTAATTAATAACTTTGAAAGGATATATTGATCTGAGAAAACTATAGATGTGAATAAGAAATGCTAGTTTGCTTAGAAAATTTGGATAACTGGGTTTTAACCCAATAAGGTTTATGCAAAATACTAGAAGTGTGTTAAGGAATCATTTCGCGATCAAAGAATGTTCGGGAAAACAATTAACCATTGGATCTCTAAAGTATAATTATTTTCTTTAAGAGTTAATACCGAAATTATCTGGTTAAGAAATTACGAAAATGCCCTTGAGAGGTAAAAATAGTCCAAGTTGACTCTGAATGAGAAAGTAACATGAGAATTTGTTCTTAAACCGATAAATTACTGATTTAATGGTTGAGATTCTACTTTTGTATGGAAAATTCCTAATAATTCGTTAGTAATGTCTGAAAAGACTTTCAACCTGGAAATCTCCGAGTTATGAGTAAATACCTGAAGAATAAATTATCGAGGGTGTTATTTTATAAGAATTGTTTGAAAAGAATGGAAAATATGATACGTTTGAATTAAATGATAAGATCAATGGAAAGAAATGATTGAAATACACTGGATCTATAAAATGACCAAAGTACCCTTATAATGGAATGACTCAAGAATGTCACCAAGTTCAGAAATGAATAGATATCCTCAAGCTTTGAAAGGAATGGAAAAACATTGAGCACCAAAATGACCAAAATGCCCTTATGGTCTATACTAAGTAAATATCTTGGATTAATTAAGGAATCCAAATAAGCATAGGTGTTGCACTACCTTTAGAAGTTATGGAACACATCTTAAGTGAGTTGATCAATCTTAATGATATGTCAGTACCTGAACGGCATATATGTTACTTGAATATGTGTTCGTCTTCTCAAGTGTGGTTCGATGATAATTTTGAAAGTACTCAGCTCAGCTCAACTCTAGATTGCATTCGGTAATAAGAAATAAATATTCGTTAGACAAATCAACCACGAAGACCAAATTAAATTGAACGGAAGTACAATATGTATATGAAATTCAGAAACGTCTGGATTACCCTGAAAACCCCGAAGTAACTGTAATGGACTCGATTACTAAATGAACTAAGTTACCTCAATGACTGAGGATTAAATAAGTGATTGAATGAGTCTGGAAACACTATTGAATTTACATGATGAATTATCGTTATGGGTCATGAACCATGAAACAAGTACGTCCGTATTTCCTGATATCATTGAACGTGGAAATGAAATAAGGACTATTGGAAGATCTATTCAGCGATGATTACGAAGATGATTTTATGGACAAGAATGTTTAGTATTAAAGAGTAAATACTCTGGAAAGGCAGTAAATTGACGGGTCAACATGAATTAGTTCTGAGAGTTGTTCAGTTCGAATTGTTCGATAAGTCGATTGATCATCATGGATTGTAAATGTCTTGAATCTTTATTTCTACATTTTCATATTAAATCACTTCGGTCATGTCTGAACACGCATGTAACGCAGAATGAAAAGATTATGAATACCCTATTTGGTTCAATTGAGCTGAGATCTTATGAATTTAAGTATATTCCTGAATACATCTGATTGTTTAGGTAATAGAATCACAATCAGTAAATCTGAAACTAGAATTATTATGTATAAAGGTTCCTGAACGTTTTCCTGATGCACATGAAAACATAGTGGAATTCTAAAGTATCAATCTGAAA